CCAGGACTGTTCCAAGTCACTCCGGGCTCCTGTCCCTTCGCTCCTTGGGCTATATGCTCGGGAGTTGCTCTGTGGTCCGGTTCCATCACTCCTTGGCGTCATGCTTGGGAGTTTGGCACTGTTCCTTCGTTCAGTGGCCCAAGGCCCTGAACCTCGGGTTCCTATGGACACGTGGCACGGACACGTGGTATGTGACACGTGGCATCTGTCACGTGGCACAAAGAGGGTTTAGGTTCCGCTTCGTGGTGTTATCCTATGGTAAATCACCATAGGATAAAGGGTCAAAACCACGTGCGCTACATACATTAAGACGATTTTAACTTTGCACGAAGTAAGATCCTAGCTGCAGGGATGACTTTTCTTTAGCTGTTTCTATAAGAGTTAGAGCTTCTCTTCAAAGGTGTAGAAGTCATATATAGTTTTCCAGGAGGTTTTGAGTTTTGCCAATTATGCTAAATCAAAGAGTTATTTATGTGATTTTTGAATTCAATGATTTTGCATAATGCAAGATTCTCAAGATGTCAAATAGTGATAAAATTAGATATAGGAGTTGCTATTAGGAGACAACTAATGTTAGTATTTTATTTAAATTCATAAAGCTACATAAAAGGATTGAAAGAATGGTGTTTGAAAATTAAAACTATAGAGCTTGATGGTTTACGAGTCCATCTAAGAGAAGTACAATAAAATAAAGGGATTCAAGGAAAGTCATTACTATTGAAACTAAAAACACATATTTATAACTAGATATTTTTCTTACTATTTTTGTAACTTGTTTTTGCAGGTATATATTTTTCAGGCTATATTTTAGAAGCATGCATCATGGAACCAATACATACTCTTGCAATTAACAACTACAAGAAAATCAATAAAGAGATTTTAAAGTCATGATTAAAATTAAAATAAAGGTAAGGATGATGACTATTCACTCACCATTTTAACAAGATGATATAATGTTAACCACCATAAAATCTTTTTCTTGGCTCATGCAAATGAATAAGGTTTTCTTTCAATGGTATACTTTATATGTGATAGCTATATTGGTTGGAGATGCCTTGATAGAATAGTTGAGGCTCATTAGATATTATGACCGTCTTCTATAAACCAGAGATTGACATTTGAGACCATATGGACAATTAAATCTATTGAATGGCAATTCATATATGTCTTATTTGGGACAAAATCTCACTGAAAACATATTTATTTATGAAGAGCATATAGTGCTAAAAGTGAGTTCCAGGTTTTGTATGAAATCCCCACTAATTAAAAATAACATGGTTGAAACATCATAAGAGGTGTGAACTAATTTTTGGTATGATTTTTACTTAACTTTTTTTTTTTTACAGATCATTCTTCAAAAGTATGAATTTGCTAAAGATCAAAGAAACTAATAGGCTACTACCACTAGAAAGACTGAAGAAGATCTTAGGATCTTACTTTGTTACACTATAAATAATATAAAAATTGTGCCCTTACAATTTATAGCCTTGTTGTGGAAAAAAAAGGGATCCTTAGCTTATGTTTACAAAAAACTAAAATCATTGTTAGCCATGTAATACCAATGAGTACAAAATGTAGAGTTATTTTTGGTTTGGAGGGGAACTCATAGAAAACAAAAATGGCCCCATCTTCGATGCCAACACAAATACAATTTGAATAATTTAAATATGTTAAAATTTATAGTTTTTATTATGGTTTTGATTTGCTTAGAGTAGTGTAGAATATACTTGGATATTCTAGGATATTCTACTATCTAATGATTGTTATTCACTTAGATTAATCTCGTATTGTAATTTTAATAGATATAATTATAATTTATAAGCTTTCCTAAATACTTCCTTGTATATTCTAGTTTATTTAATGGTTGATATGTAATAAGATTAGTCTTTATTAACTTCCAGTTAATCAATTATATTATTAAATAATAAGCAATACTATTAAGAAAACCAAATGCTGCTGCATGCAGTATGCAGAAAATTATTATAATTTTACTTATCAGAAAATTTTTATTATTGAGACTTATTTAATAGCAAAGTAGTATAAGAATTCTAATTACAATATTTAAGGCACTTTTTTCTTCTTTTTTTCTTAAATATCACATTTTTAGAGGTAGGCTAGAGGTAGATAAATACACTAGATGGCATATTTTAACTCTTGATTTTATGTGTTCCGATCATATATGGAGTTTGCTAAGGGAAGTTTATTCTCCCTCACTATAACACTTTTTGGTGGTGTTTTTATATAGTTTTAGATATGGTTTCACATCAATTTTCCGAAGTATTTTCCAATAACAGCAATATAAATTTTAATTGAGGACATAATAGAACTTTAAGGAAGGCTTGCCCATATTGTGGAGGTTACGTTAATGCAAACTATATAGATCAAATTGTTGGAGAGCATCAATAATGTTCCAAAAAATTCATATTTGAAAGATCCATCTTGGAATTCTTAGTGAATAATATTGAGTTTTTTGTTTACTTACATAGGCAAGTAAACACTTTCAAGGATGGATGAGTTAAAGACATTGCTGTTTGATATTGGATAATATAGGCTTATAATAAACTGGGTAGATTAGATGGTCGGCTGTGACATGAATAATTTGATCAAACTATAATCTATATGAATAATTATATAGCATATAAACTCTAGAAAACTATTTTGATAACAATGTTTCAGTGAAAAGTAATTTATTTGAAAAACTATACACTATCTAGGCTATAAGAAAATTATGTAAAAAATCCATATGAAAATGAAAATTTATACATAATACTAAAATTATATTAAAAAAACAATACCAAAAGGATAACCGCACACCAAATTTGCAGGTGTGTTTGATCGCTTCGTGGAGTCTGGACAGTGGCTCCAGTGACTTGGCTTGTGACATGCTCATGGTCAAGCTCTATTGCAGTGCAGGCCTGTGGAAGGGTCAATCCCTCGCTTTGCAGCCAAGTTTGGCATTTCCTGGATTGTCAATGGACAAGCAAACAGGTGGCATTGTAGTGGCTACACTCGGCAGTGCAGCGTGGGAGTAGAGAGAAGATCGAGGTATAGTTTCAAGAGGTCGCGAAAAGATCTTTACATATACTTCCAGCACAGCTATCAAAAATTGGAAAACCTGAAAACACCGACATTTCTCAAGTGTTTATCGTTGGCTGAGCGCCTAAGTGATCTCTAGGAGGCACTTGCGTGCGTTCCACGCATTGAGCGCATCCTGGGGACTCCAGTTGGTGACTTGACGACCAACAAGAGTCTTGAGCATGCCATCGTAGAACCTCTTTTGCCCCCTGGCAAGCTCCGCTTCACTGCCAAGGGTAGGCATCTTGTTATACCCTTGTACCGTCCTGCAAGTCTGTCAATACCAAAGCGTTTGGAAACGCAGCTCTTACCTGGTGAAGAAGCGGCCACCGGGTGAAGACCATTGGGGATTCTCATCTTGATCTTAGCGAAGTCCTTCTTCCAAGTTGTTCGAAGTTGTTCTGTAATTCGGTGCGGGTGAAGCTTGGAGTGAATTTCTTCGGATTCAGCTAGACGGGCAGCCGTTTTTGCAGTCATTTACCTTGCAAGCTGGCCTGATCAACCTGATGGTTCTCCACCCAAACGAAACCATCTATTTCCAGGATTCCGTAATACCAGTCATCTTTGTCACCGGCCTAGAAGACGATATGTCAGCGCTCATGATCCAAGTGACTAACTATTCTTACCATGATGGTAACTGGCGGTCTGTAGCTCTTCGGATGCGCTGCTGTCTCCAGGAGTTCCTGTATGGCGAACATAGCGGGCTGGTAAAGATTCTCGACTCCCGCGTTGCTTTTGAAATCCAACGTCACCTTGAGCCGCAGGCCACGAAGCGTGTAGCGTTTAGTGTACACGTACATCTTCCAATCCGAATGGTGCCTCGGAGAAGAATTGCTCGCAGACTGAGGTTTTATCAGCAGGTCATCTGTTGAAGAGTCCCAAGACTCTCAGAGTTGGGAAGGTTTTCCGCGTCAACCTGGGTCGCCTGTCTTCCTTGTCAGCCTCATACTGGAGCACAAAGTCCGCTTTTTTGTCAGATGGCGATGACGGGGGCTCCTTTTCAAGTTCGCGGGGCCTTGTAAAGCGGCCAAGGTTCCGTAGCATCCTGTCCAGTATCGGTGCGACCTGCATCTCTTCTTTGCAATCACCTTGGAACGCAGTCGAGTAGGCCACATCGTTGGCGATGAGCTTCTATGCAAGCATCAGATGCCCTCATACGATAGGTTTGCTGCCGTGGAGATGTCAGGCTCTTCATTGCGTCAACAAGAGAAGAAATGATTTTAACTTTTTTACCGTGATCTTTCATGAGTTTTGTTTCCTAATGGAGGGGAATATAAACGTGTTCGACAAGATGAAATTCCGGGGCTCTTTTGGACTGTGCTCAGTATATGTGGAGAGCAGAAGAGACAGGTAGTGCTAGAGGTCCTACCTGAATTGGAGAACCATATTGAAGTGGCCGATGCTCCAATGCTTGCTACTTGCTTGAGTAGCAGCTGGAGAATATGCTTCCGGACTTTCCAAGCTGGAAGTTCTGGAGAGAAGCATGGCTACACTCATTTAAGTTTTTATAAAGTGTCCAAATTATTAATTTTTTCCTTGGGGGGAGTGTATCACATAATTGTTTACCTGAAATCACATTCAAATACTTATCAATCAGTTCTTTCAAACATTCTCTTCTGCTAATGTCAAGATACAGTAATACTCTGTTGATATTGAAATCCAAGTAATTCACAAACCTATATCTTGAAATCGAAGTGTTCGGTTTTGAGATATAGATAAGCTCTATAACACATTTGTATAAGTCAGCTCAATTAGAATGCCTTTGAGCTGCTATCTTAGAGCTGAGAGAAGTTCCACTTTATTTTCAGTCTTGTCTTGGCAAATTTCACCATGGAGAAATCTCAAGCAGCCAATATGAAACCTTGCAAGAACCCTAATTTCTGGTGGTTATTTGGGCAATGGCGGCAACTGGCGGTGATGTGCCGTCGCGTGGCGGGAATCCGTGGCGCCATGGAATGCTCGGAATGGATTCCTGGAAGCTGAATGCGGGCACATTCCGGCAACAGCAGCAGCAGCGAGGATTTCAAGTGATAACGGCAGCTACACGACTGTTCACAGAGCGTGGAAGCCGATGGTGAAATTGCGTGGTATAGGGTTCTTGCCTCCTGATTTTCTTGTCGCAGCTGGCCCTGTGGAATTCAATTCCAATCTCAGCATTGTCTTGTATCCCGATCCCAAGCTCCGCGGGAGGAACATCCGCATCAATTCCTTCGATGATAATGTCAAGAAGCTTATGCTGGACGTGACGTACAGGTATGTTCCTTGCGAATTTCATCACTGTCCAACGTATGCCTTGTCTTTCTTTTCGTTTTTGCCAGGAGAGATGGAGTAGGCTTGTCCGCTCCACAAGTATGCGTCAATGCCAGGCTCATGGTGTACGTTTTCGTGAATCCAATGATTGCCAAGTTTGGGAAAGAGCGAGAAGCTGATACTTTAGAAGGATGCCTACCTTTTTACAGCACTCAAGCCGATGTTTAGGTACTATTCCTTTGTACATAGAGATTCTCTTTTATACCTTGCGTCTTTGTTTCCAGAGACTGATATCGATCCGAGTTGAAAGCTCAAGACATCAACGGGAAGAAATTTGGTACCGCCTTCAGGGGCTGGACTGCTCGAATTTTCCGACATGAGTATGATCACCTGGAGGTAATGTCTCGTTAGTTTTTTTTCTGTGCATACATCAAGGTGGCCGTGGTATTTGTTCGCACAGGGTGTCCTTTACATCGACCAGATGACTCCAAAATCACTGAACTCAATTGGACAAGAACTTTTGATAAGAGATTCCATAATTGTATGTGCCCTCATGTCGGCTTTGTTTGCAGAATCTGGAAAATTTGAGAAGAGGTCTGGGACGCCTCGTCCCGATGCGGTTAAAGACAAACTGTTAAGTTTGATTCCGCTCGTCTCGTGCGAAGATGCTCGGTTCGATTACGCGCTCCGTTTTCAACTTACCGGAAACTCCAGCTGGCGAAGAACAATAAGCCTAAAAGCGAATCCAACCGAGCGGTGAGTGCCTTGCTTTTATTTCCATCGTAGAAGATGGCTAGAAGCTGAACCTTTTCTCCTTTTCTTTTCTTGTGTGATATTTTTTCAGAGTTTCAGAGTTGACGATCCCGCGCCACACGAACTACCATCTGAAAGCGATATGGCCGACCTTCATATCATCCTGGTTAACGCTGAGAAGAGAATCAGAGCACTGACTGCCTCCAAAACTACATCGGTGAAAAAGGCCAGAAGAAGTGTGAAGAAGAAACATGGCCAGCTATGTGAAGCTCCATTGGGCGGGCCTTTTGTGTTGCCTCTCTCGAGGAGCCCAAGGAGGAGCTCTTGTTTTCCTGAAGTTCTTTCATACCCGACAACGGTTTATAGCAGCAAGGCTGACGCAATGCAGTTCCGAGGAAGAGTTGTGGCCATCACGGGTTGATAGATGGAGGTTTAGCAGTCCAGATGAAGACCTTTCTATTGGCTCGAGCACTTCAGCAGATTTCGGTCAGATTACCGGTCAGAATTCGGTCTTAAGGAGAGAGAGTTTGGAATCGGACCTTTGGGACGACTTCGTTATTCTCCAGTGCTTTAATTCAAGCAAGATACTCGAGCAACGTTGCGGCAGAAAGAAAGTGCAGCGCTCCGGGCGAGGAAGTGGTCTGAGTCTTCCGGACGGAGGCGCGAAAATGAGGATATGTCCGGGAAACCAGGTGTATCAACACAGGGAAGGCCGAGTCGCGACTCAGGAATTCAAACGCAACAACAGAGGTGGCAGCGAAAGTTCCGAAAGATCAGCGTCCGGAATCGGGAGAAGCAACTAGACGACGGCCAGGATGTTGAGATCGGCGTGGAAGGCTAGCAGGCAAAGTACACAGTGTGGGCGCTAACCTCGTGTTTTTGCAAACACTTGCAGGAGGATACGAGCGGGATTGAAGTTTCCGCGGTTGCCGAGTTGTTTCCAGAAGACTTAGCACTCTATAAAATCCTCTTTTTGATGAGGAGTTGTGGTAAGTCGGAATTTCATGTTTTAAAGCTATCCTCTTATTCTTCTCTTCGCTCTTGAACTTCGACATTGTGAGGCTTTTTCCAGTATGGGCACTCGTGTCGCAGATGATAGATGCTATCTCGTAGCACACTATACGAGCGTGTGGTCGTACCTGTGGCCTCACATCTCGCATTCTTTGGACGTCGGGAGTGTGAACTTGGATTGGAGGGCGAGATTTTCTCTGTTTATGCTCTGGAGCGTGAGGTCTGTCTCTCAACCGCTGAAGCACTTTGGAAGATGGGTGGAGAAGGCAATTAACCTTTGTGCATCCAATGGAGGAATTCTCAGGACCTTGTATACTCTTTCGATGGATCCACAAGGTAACTAGAATTGATTTCACGGTTTTGACTTTTGTTTGTGTGCTGTTCTTCCAGCGCTTGTTGATCCTTCCGAGGATTCGGAGAGCTACCTAACTTTCAACGGCCACATGGAACCAAGAATCAGCCTCCTCCAAGCCCCTTCGTCTCAGCGTCTGTGTCTTTCATGTCCAGACTCCAAAGCGGTAGCAGATGTTTGTGCTATGGCGTCTAAGGTTGCGTATGAGAACCCGAAGTTCATCGAATTTGTCGTGAATCAGAATTGGAAGGTAAGTCCAAGCCTTGCACAACCTCTGGCTCCATCAGCTTCTCCTTCGCAGATGCATCTACTAGGAACTTACAACTGTTGGAACGGTAAGAGGTCGCTATCCAGTTTCATCTGACGTTGCCCTCACCCTTTCATGCTACAGAGTTTCAGAAAAAAAACTCGACTCAAGCATTCATCTTCGCGGACCGGGAAACTGACGCCGGAGCCATCGTTCTTGCCTTCCGGGGAACGGAAGCCTTCAATGCATACGACTGGTGCACAGACTTGGATTTCTCCTGGTACGAGCTCCCGCAGCTCGGCCGTGTCCATCTCGGATTCCTCGAAGCACTGGGGCTGGGCGACAGGAACAGGATGCAAAGCTTCCAGAGGTTGAAGCAGAACATCTACGAGAACTCGAGGACTCCGTTGCCACAGAGTCCAACATCTGTATTACCCGACTTTGTCCTCAGCGATGAGACGAAGCTGCTCGCATACGACCACATCAGTGCGGAGCTCGTCACCATCCTCCGGAAACACAGCACCGGTCACAGCCGCGGCGCTCTGGCGACTCTCTTCACCGCCATGCTCTTCTACAACCGGGAAGAGAATCGAGTTTTTTACAACACCGAGGACGACGTTGCCAGGAGGCTCGCGGCGCTCTATACGTTTGGCCAGCCCCGCGTTGGGGACAAGAGCTTTGCGTCCGTCATGGACACCAGCTTAAACAAGCCAACCATGAGGTACTTTAGAGTTGTCTACAATAACGATATGGTAGCTCGAGTTCCCTTCGACAACTCTCTGTTTGGCTTCAAGCATTTCGGGAATTGCTGCTACTTCACTTACAACTACACCCTCCAGGTACTTTACTTCGAGACACTGCTCTCTCTGTAGGATCCATATTAACGTTCTGCACAGATCCTTCCAGACGAGCCATTTCGCAATTTCTTCTCCCCGGTTTACATGGTGCTGTCCCGGCTTTACGCGCTGTTCGAGCTCGTCCAGAGCTTCTTCATGAGCTATAGATATGGCGGGGAGTTTAGCGAGACGAGGTTGTCCACTGTGGCAAGGATTGCAGGCTTGCTCGTGCCTGGGATCGCCGGCCACAGCTTGGTGAATTACATCAACTGCGTCAGGCTGGGGCCCGACCATCTCGATCCGGCGTGCCTGCAAAACACGCAGTGGGATAAATCCCAGTAAGCATCGCAACTTCGTACATGTCAAATAAAACTTACACATGGTGTCACTCAGAAAATATATAAAATGAACACAATTACATTGCCTTCAAAACCGAATGCACAATGGAATTCTCTGTATGGAGACAGGGCTATTACTGGTGAAAGTGCAAGCATGGAATGAAACAATGCAATTTATCCTTACCACCCAGAAAGGAACCATAGACAAAGCACTGATGATCGAATCTATCCACCTCGACTATGAGTTCCACAAAAGATGGTGGCATGACTGTGTGGCTTGTTGCAATCAGATGTCCTCTATTTCTTAACTACAGCTCTAACTCTACAATATCTTTCTACTCCAAATTGCCACATGTGCATGGAGATCTTTCTAGATATATATGTATATGTATATATATGTACATCTATGTTTCTATCTATCTATATCTATATATACATATATATAGATAGATATGTATACATATATATATATATATATATATATATATATATATATATATATATATATATATATATATATATATATATATATATATATATATATATATATATATATATATATATATATATATATATATATATAAAAAGATAAACTAATCTCTCATAGAGCTAGTGATTAAAAAATTTAAATATTTTTTATTTTCTTCTATATACAAAAAATCTCTAAATTTTATTTAAAATTCATTTTAATGTCTATACTTTTAGTTCTTTTTATTTTAGTTATACATTGTAGAATTGTATTTGGTAAAATAGATATATATTGGGGTAAAAATAATTCACTTACTGAGGAAGATATTAATATAATTTTACACAATATAAAAAGACTTGCACTAAAATTACATGAATCTCATCTTTATCCAAAAAATTATATTGATAATGATTTAATAGATATTGATGGAAGAGGTGTTGTTATAAGAATTGAACATTTAACGAGAAGTACTCCATATTGTTCTACAACTGGAAAACCGGTTTTAAATGATTCTCTCCAAAAATTAATAAATGAAATAATTAGAAAAGTAATAAATGGTTTATTGCAAGCACTTTCTAGTGAATGTAGAATTGTGTCTAATAATTATCTTATTTGATATATATTAGTAACTCATTGGAAACCCTTAAATTATTTAGAAAATATAAATATTGTGTTCAAATATTTTTAAAATTGTGATATTACTTTGACTACTTTAAGTGCTGGTTTCTTTGATCATATTTTATATAAATTTTTATATAAAAATTTTTATTTTTATATAAATTTTTACAATCCCCAATTCGTATGAATATACTATATATCAAAATGAATTGTAAACTTGCATTTTTCTGGAAAAACTAATTTATGGGAATCTCAAAATAATGAATATTTTGGAGAGTGTTTTTTAGATCTGCAAAATGATGGAAATTTAGTGTTTTACACTTATAAATTAAATGTATTATGGTCTCCCAATATTGTTATGAGAAACCAAACTGTTTACTTTTAACTTATATTACAGTTGAAGATAATTGTAAACTGGTGAGTTACTTGACAACATATCCAAGCAGAGTGGACATTAGATTATTCTAAACATATTGGCTGCTTAAGCTAGAATTGTCTTACTGAATAGAAAATAATTTGCTCTTCAAAATGCAATAATATTTACAAGAATTGAAGAATCGTCCTCTTCATTCCTCTTTACCTTCAGAACTAGCAGCCAAGGGGGACATAACTAGAAATCATGTGGGCTTGCCTGCGCTGGTTTGAATCCAACCTTGATTTTCTTCATTTTCTTTTAATCACCTTACTTTGTTTATGCATTTTGTGCAAGTAAAACACACAAAAGTAAAGAGACCAAAGTAACTAGTCCACATCGTCCTTAATTTCTTCATCATCTTCAAACACTTTGTCATTCCCCCTGGCGTCGTCCATCAAATCATCCCGCGTCTCCTCGCTATCTTCCTGGATCTTGTGCTTGATTATCACTTTCCTCCCCACCAAGTTTGTCTCCACCACCGCCACCTCTTGTATCCTCATCATGCCACTCGATGTTCGTCCTCCTCCTCCTGCTGCCACTGTCTTCTTTCTCTTGGCTTGCAGCACTGCTGTGGATGCCGGCCTTGAATTTCCTCCTCCTCCTCCCAGCCTCATCTTTCCCTTCCTGGGCCCCTGGACCAAATGCTCTGGATCACTGCCATCGCTAAACTCATCACTGCCATTGTGCTCCACCATCTCCTTCTTGACATGCCCCCTCTTGAGATGGAGGTTGAGCTTGTAATTGTAGAAGTAGTGCTTGTCACAACCTTTGTAAGGGCACGTGAATGGTTGACTGCTGCCGGTTGCTGCTGCTGGTTAGAGAAAATCCAGGAAGGGACTTGATGTATGCTCATTCTCTTCTGAACAATGGATACAATCTAAGCAGCATCTGAAGAATTTCGGGATGTACAAATGGTGAGACACAAGTGATGGGACAACGACGATGATGGTGACAATGGCTTACCTTCTTCTCTAAAGGAAACAGAAGGGAGGAAAAAATCCACCAACATCAAGTCTTCGTTGTTTTTGCAAGTGCAGTGCAAGTTCTAGTGGCATTTTGCTCAACCAATGTGACGATCTAACTTGCTTAAGGTGCTTGATTCATATTCTCTTTAATGGGTTTAATGAAAACTAAACCAAATAAAGGGAGAGAACCACCATAAATGGTTTAAAATGTCTCTAAGTTGGAGAGACTATGCTCTTTAGAAGATGGACAAGGTATAGTGAGCCTTTAGTGTGAAACTATTGACAAATATTGGTTAGGTATTAAGAATGAAAAAAATTGGTAATCCATGATGAGTTTACTTTATAAAATGTTTTATCATTCAATAAGAACATCAAACTTTGTATATAGGTGGTGGAGTTGTGAGACACAAATCTCTAATCCCCAAAGTTAGACAGAAAGGGTGCCATATGGTAGTGGTTGAAGCAATATGTAAGCGACTAAATTTTCCATTCTACTTTAGTCACTTAACCACACCTTTGACCACTTGGGGGAGTCTCATTCACAACCTCCTTAAGTCCAATTCAGGACTTGGGACTTGCTAGTCCCGAGGATGGCATCTATGCCACTCATCCTTTGCACTTAGTCCAAGTGCTCCACGTGTCCAGTCCCAAGACTGACACCCAAAGGTACCACTGACATATCGGCCCGTTACGCTAAGGCCATACCCATTCATCTTTGCCGCACTAGTGGTCTAATACCACTTGCATCACAATCCTGTCTCTCCAAGAGTGGGCCATTCGTTCACAAGTGGTCAACCCAGATCCACTCCTTAGCATCTTTAGGATGCCCACCGACATGGGGAATAGCCTTCCCCAATATCCCTTTGTCAATTCCTACCAAGTCCCTTTTCTGTCCATGGCCATGTTCACCGACACTGCCACTAGATCAAGGCCCACAGGCCCGACCACTAGGTCCCATGGTCCTCTGGGACTTCCTCACCATGTGACTGTATCCTTAGTCACTACACTAGAGGACTGCTCTTCCTCCTTTCCCCCATTTGGGACTCCGGGGCAACGTTTCGGAACACCGTGGGCCTACGCGAGCCCCGTGGGTACTCTCCCCACCTTCCTCCTTTAGGTGCTCTAGCCATGGGCTTAGAGGAGGTTCCGTTGAGCCACGCCTGGTATCTAAGTAGGTAGTGCCACCCACACTTGGACTGGGAGCATCGGCCAGTCGATCTCCCGGGGGAACTAGAGCCAGCTCTTGAACACTTGACCAAGCTACCCCGCTTGTCGGTCTGTATTCACTCTAGTCTTGGACTTCCCAGTGGTCAGTTCATCACCCAACACTGAGTCCGGCCTTTCTGGGCCAAACTGGACTTTCTTGGCCAAACTGGCTCCACTACAGTCCTCCCCCTTACTATACTTTTGGAGCTCACCAAACCCCCCAGGGTCTGGGAGACGAACGCTTTGGGCTTTCACCCTCTCAGACTTGAACTCAGACTTGGACTTGAACTTGGACTCAGACTCGGACTCGGACTCGGACTCAAACTCGGACTTGGGCTCGGGCTGGGTCTCGGCCTCGGTCTCGGTCTTGGTCTCGGTCCCAGTCTCGGTTTCGGTCTCAGTCTCAATCCCGGTCTCGGTCTCGACCTTAGACTCCATCTCGGGTCCTTCTCGGACTCCATCTCAGATTCCATCTCGGGTCCATCTCGGACTCCATCTCAGTCCATCTCGGACTCCATCTCGGACTCCGTCTCGGTCCATCTCGGACTCCATCTTGGACTCTGTCTCGGTCCATCTCGGACTCCATCTCGGACTCCACCTCGGACTCCATCTCGGACTCCACCTCGGACTCCATCTCGGACTCCGTCTTGGTCCATCTCGGACTCCATCTCGGACTCCAACTCAGGTCCATCTCGGACACTTCCATGTGTCATGTGTTGGTCCTTTTGGGTCCCTTTTTGGAGCCTCGCTTATTGCTCGCTTCGTGCTTGTTCCTCGAGCACTTTGTTGGGAGTTCCACTCCCGCTCTCGACCTTTTAAGTCGGAGCTTTTAGTCCAAACGTGTCACGCTCGTTTGGCTTTCGCTTCGACCACTACCACGTGGCACCCTTCCGGCTCCACTTTAGGGCCTAGGGATTTTGTGTCTCACAACTCCACCACCCATAGACGAAGTTCGATGTCCTCATCGAATGGTAAACCCTTTTATAAAGTAACACCCGTAGGTATTACCATTTCCATCTTTGGCACCCAACCAATATTTGTCTATGGTTTGACCCCGAAGGCTCACCATGCCTTGTCCATCCTCTAAGGAGCATAGTCTCTCCAACCTAGAGACTCATTTGACCACCTAGGGTGGTTTGCTCCCTTTTATTGGTTCAGTTCTCACTAAACTTGTTAGAGACACCCTCTCTAACTCAATTCCACTACTCATTCTCGAGTAGTCTCAGATTCCATGAACATAACCTTGGCACTTGGAACTTTTAATTTTGACTTCTCAGAGTTAATTTCCTAGGTGTCTCCGACACCTTACGTTGCACATGGTGCAACTCCACTTCCTTATCCTAGGAAGTTCTTTACTTGAGGGTACCATCATCCTCTCTTCGATATCGTGCCACCTTTGGCACTAAGTTCCAGTTATCATAATTGGTGCTAGGGCTACCCACGGCCCTATTATTTGGCTACTTTACCGCTCCCCCCTTTGAAGCATCCACTTTTGCCAAATCGGAGCAATTGGGAATCCACCCTTGGGGAAACATTGCCTTTCCCACAATCCGTTAGCACCCAACACATTAGTGTTCTTGGCCTAACTTTGCCATTTGGATTCTTTCTCATGATTCCTATGGCTCTTTTCTTAGCCACTAGTCTTTTGCTAGGTCCAGAGTGTGTTCACCCCTAGTACGTCTCTTTAACATTTTCTACTGTAGGCTCTATCCACGGCCCAGCTTTTGAGACCCTCCCTTGGATCTCTTATAGAGACTACTATCCTCGGAGTTGCTATGCCATAGCATTGACATGGCTCATTTCCCTTAGGTGTTCTTCCCACTTGGTCCCTTTGACCAAGCCACACCATTACTAATAGTTCAAATCAACACTTTGAACTAGGAATCATATTCCTTAACCCAAACAAAGACCTTGTCCTTGTTTAGCCACAAGATCATCTAGTGATCTCATCTTGACCCCTTAATAGATCTACCAATAGGAACTAAGTCTTCCAGACCCTTCTAAGTTGTTGACTATGACCCCGGGGGCATCCCCCACACTTGGCGGTGCACCCAAGCCAGCCCTTCTGGCCAGGGATCCATAGCAACTAAGACTTGAGTGTCCCCATCTCATTCACCACGTCCTTGGTGCCCTTTGCACCAAAGTGTTCAAGTTAGATATGCCGGGCTTTCACTCTAAGCAATCTAACCATGCATCACGACTCCGAGGCATCCCTTGCTTGGCGGTATGCCCAAACCAGTCTCCTCACTGAGAGTCCATGACCACCGAAATATGAGTGTCCTCATATTCCAAACCATCACCACGCCCTAGTGATTTGGCCCAAGCATTAGAGGGTTGGGACTCGAACCCAACCTTTGTATATGCATCTACGGACGGCATCACCCTAGATGCCTGGTGTAACTCCCTATACCGGTGCACCAACTTATACTTAAAGCGCGTTATAGATCACAGATTAGGAATCTAGTTCCTCCACACTGTCAAGTCCTCTCACTTGACATGTCTGTGATCATGCATAGACTCCTCCATGCTTGGCCCCATGGCCCACCCTTTTGAAGTTATCACCTTCAACTAGGGTATTTGTTCCCCCGTCTTACCAATCTCGCTTGGCAAGTCCTCCGACCACCGTAACATAGTTCCTGCATAAACGTGAAAGTCTTTGACCATCGACTTTCGTTCAACCTTGGACAACCTGTCTTCGCAACCTTGGACATTTGGATAGGACCTTCTATCCATCATTCGCTAGGGACTTAGTCCCTTGGGCTTTATTTATTGCCCTCGCGACATCAAACACCACCTCCTGGTGTCCTAGAGTGTTTTCGTGTCCCAAATGATAGCCTGTTTGACAATGAGTATTCCCTTTTATGACATTGATTTACTATATCGCAACATAAGAAATTTATCCCTCGTAAGGGTATATCTAACTTCCTTATGCCATTAAAAAGTCTTGGGTAGCTACCTTTTACTAGTTTAACCAATTATCTTGCACCTTTTGCTTAGTTGCCTTATAATTGTCAAGTCCTACAACTCATTGTTGGTGCTTCCACACCTCCATCATTGTTTTGGTCACCACACTCTACCATATGCCTTCCAGCTTAGGCTATGCCATTCCCATTTCCGTTGGGATTCCCTTAGCAAAGGGTTTTTATAAACCCACCAACATAACCTCAAAGTATCACACCTTGGCACATTTGGTGTCTCCACACCATTGGCCCCATAAGCCTATCTTTATGACACTACTTATTAGTGTCTAGGTCTTTGCCAAGACCAATATAGTTTTGCCTCATGCTAACTATCCGTTAGCACCGCACCATAATGTTTGTCCCCAACTCTGGGCCAAAGTTGCTTTCTTCTGGGAATATCTTTCCCACAACTTTAGTATGGCACATTCTGCCATCAATGAGATATCTCCTGTTCTCATACTTGGATCTTATGATCCTCCCCATACCTCATGGGGCGCCATACACCTCAATTTAAATGCTTCAACCAATCCTTTAGGAGCGTTCCCTGACCCCACTTGAGTCATCCAGCATTTTTGGACTTCGCTAAACTAACGACCCATAAGGTCTTATTTTTGAGGTGCCAGCTCACTCGAATACAATTTCATGTATTCATGTCCTACTCATAAGGACCATCTTGCAAATGTTACTCCAACACTTCATTATTTCCCGTTCTCTATGGGTTGCCTTTTGCCCCTTAGGACTATCCGCATAGTTACGAACACGAACACGGAACACGAACACAAGCCTCAGATTTCAGGAACCCGAACATGGAACACGATCACGGCCCACGATGGCTCACGAATATTCTACTGAATATTCTAAGATTATGTTATTTAAAAATTATATTCTATTTCTTATTATATTATTATAGGAATATGCTATATTTTATTATATTATTCTTAATATTTTTATTTGCACATAAACTACTTCACACTTTTAAACTACTCAAATATCCTGCATCTCATCGTCATCTTCAACCTCATGATCTTCGACCTCACGATCTTCGACATCATCTCCATCTTCCTCTTCCTGTCCTGACTCAAGCTCGTCTTCAGGATGAGGAACTGTCTCCAGGACTTTGTAGCTTACAAACTTGTCGTAATCACGATCATTTTTGCAGGTTAACAACCTGGTGTTGCAAGCCACAAAAACCAGATCCGCTGTCCTGTCCATGGTAAGTCTGTTCCTCTTTTTTGAAGAAACATGCTCGAAAGTACTGAACAATCTCTCCACCGAGGACGACGAGCATGCCTGACTTAGAACTCGAATGGCCAACTTCTGAAGAGCTGGAGTTTCATAACCATAGTCCTCCCACCAACGTACAACTCCCCTCTTAGTGCGATCAGCCTTAGCATCATATGAGTTGAAAATGCCTCCTATCCTCCGGTAAGTTAAAAGCTCATCACGTATCACATCCCTCTCATTGGATGTAAACATGGCCAGCAGATAAGCATTCCAGTCCTTCATGACCTCTCTGTTAGCATGCTTTTCATACTCCTGAAACTCAGGGTCCAACATGTACGCCACCGAGTGCATGAGCAAGTGATACTCATGCCACCTATTAGACATGATCTGATGAAGTTCCCTGTACCTGCCATAATCCGACTGTCCTTCCTCTAAACTTGCATCCAACCTGTTCATGCACTCATATATCTTTCCAATCGCAGGTATATCACCGTCCACAACACGAAGAAGCAGCATAACATCCTTGGACACCTCTAGCATGTCCTTAACCTGTTGCCAGAAACTGTCATCAAAAACCGTTGCATAACTATCCCTTCCTGCTCTCGACTTCGACTCAGGCCTTGCTCTGTACGCAGGGCATATGAACATCTGTTGTAAAGCTTCTCGGAGCTCCACCAGCCTCTCCATCATAATGAAGTTGTAGCCGAACCTGGTATCACAATAACGCAGCAATCGCTTGTGAGTAAACTCCGCCAGCAGTGCCACTATATGAGAGTGGTTTCTAACGAAGATCACCAAAGACTTTCCATGCTCCAGAAGTGTTGCCATCCATGGAAGTACACCGAAGTCTTTCAAGGCATTGTTCAAGCAATGGGCAAAACATGCTGCCCATTGAATTTTCGGGTACCTCTGTTGCAAAAGTGCTGCTGCTGCTCTGTTTGCATTTTCCCCATCGGTCACAACCATGACAACGTTCTCTGCACCTACAATGTTAATGCCTTCTTCCCAGCAGCGCAGGGTATTTTCAGCTGTTTTTCCTGTTAAGGAAATGTCGATAGCCTTCAAAAAAGCTCCTCGTCCTTGACTATATGCCACAAGCCCCATGATATGCCGATTCGTCCTATCTGCCCACCCGTCTGCGCATATGGTTGCACCCCTCTGCTCCCACTGCTTCCTCAAGGATGCCATCTCAATGTCAATGAATCGTTTCTCTTTCACCAAAAGCTTATCCCGGAGATCATCATATTTTGGTGGTGCATAAGGCACACCATGCCTGGCAACTTCCTGTATCATGTTGAGGAAGTAAGGTGACCGAGCCTTGACAAATGGAATGTGTTCATTCCAGAAAAATCTTCCAATAGCCACATCAACTCAGTTCTTCCGCTCAGGATCCATCGAATCAACAATATGGACTTGACTCTGTTTGCTAAAAAACAGGGAACTGCAGCCACTTCCACTTGACTGGGATGATACCACCAGTGGAAATCCTTGGACATTGCCATCCATTCTCATAGAAGCACCACCAGATTCATTCGGCCGTTTCTTCCCCCTTGCCCCTTTCTCGGAATCAATAACCTTTTGCATATTGAGTAGATCCGCTTTCTTGTTACCTGGGATGAGAGGACAACTCACAATATCCTTGCTGCCTGGGCCTTCTCCTAACAGATGAGCTCACACACGATCAACACCACTCAGTTTGTTCACCATTGGGCAGTATTTGCATGACCATAATTTGTGGCCATGCCCCCTGCTCTCAAGAACACTTACCTCATCCCACCATCGCGAAGAAGGATGCTTTCGCAGTATGCTGGATTGCTGCACCATGCTTGTTTGCCTTGGATTGCTGCTGCTGTGCCCTAAAATGGTGTGCCCTAAAATGGTGTGCCCTGGCTGCCGTGCGCCCTAAAACCAGAATATTCCGCGCGAGAATATTTTGAACAGTGGTCCGTGTTACTAACACGGACCACTGTTCATGAACACGGCCGTGGGAACACGACCCATGGCCGTGTTTGTGAAACACGGTGAACACGGCCGGGATCCCGGCCGTGTTCGTAACACGGACTATCCGTCCCTATGATGAGAATGCCGACTCATCCTTTGAGCACACCCTCAACTCCTTGGGTTCGTTCCAGCATTTATAAAAGGTAGGCTGCCCCAGCTACCATTTCGAGGGCTCTTGCCCTCATCCGTACTTGACCTCTCATGGTTATTATTTCCGGTCTCAAATTCATGAGCACCAGCCTCAACTATGTGCGGATTATCTTGTGACTTCTTTATTATTTTGGAGTCTGCATTTTTCCCGTGATCCCAACTATAGTTGTTTACCACAACTACCTTAGCTAGTTTGCTGAGTCAAACGCTCATCCAGATCACATCCTCAACTCTTTGAGGGAAATCTTATACCGTTCCCAAGATCCCGAAGTCATTCCCTTACTAGCCCTTTTCTATCCACCATATCGCTCACAAGTTCACACATGAACTTGAGTGGAGAGCCATGTCCTCTCGACGTGCTACTCCTCGAGGATAGGTCCATATCTAGGACCTTCCAATTCCAATACAAGTGGTGATATACTTGGCCACCAATAAGAGTTGGACTAAGGAACAACTCCGATACCAAGTTGTAAGCGACTAAATTTTCCATTCTACTTTAGTCACTTAACCACACCTTTGACCACTTGGGGGAGTCTCATTCACAACCTCCTTAAGTCCAATTCAGGACTTGGGACTTGCTAGCCTCGAGGATGGCATCTATGCCACTCATCCCTTGCACTTAGTCCAAGTGCTCCACATGTCCAGTCCCAAGATCGACACCCAAAGGTACCACTGACATATCGGCCCGTTACGCTAAGGCCATACCCATTCATCTTTGCCGCACTAGTGGTCCAATACCACTTGCATCACAATCCCATCTCTCCAAGATTGGGCCATTCGTCCACAAGTGGTCAACCCAGATCCACTCCTTAGCATCTTAATAGCCTTCCCCAATATCCCTTTGTCAGTTCCTACCAAGTCCCTTTTCTGTCCATGGCCATGTTTGCCGACACTGCCACTAGATCAAGGCCCACAGGCTCGACCACTAGGTCCTATGGTCCTCTGGGACTTCCTCACCATGTGACTGTATCCTTAGTCACTACACTAGAGGACTGCTCCTCCTCCTTTCCCCCATTTGGGACTCTGGGGCAACGTTTCGGAACACCATGGGCCTACGCGAGCCCCGTGGGTACTCTCCCCACCTTCCGCCTTTAGGTGCTCTAGCCATGGGCTTAGAGCGAGGTTCCATTGAGCCACGCCTGGTATCCAAGTAGGTAGTGCCACCCACACTTGGACTGGGAGCATCGGCCAGTCGATCTCCCGGGGGAACTAGAGCCAGCTCTTGAACACTTGACCAAGCTACCCCACTTGTCGGTCTGTATTCACTCTAGTCTTGGACTTCCTAATGGTCAGTTCATCACCCAACACTGGGTCCGGCCTTTCTGGGCCAAACTGGACTTTCCTGGCCAAATTGGCTCCACTGCAGTCCTCCCCCTTACTATACTTTTGGAGCTCACCAAACCCCCCAGGGTCTGGGAGACGAACGATTTGGGCTTTCACCCTCTCAGACTCAAACTCGGACTCAGACTCGGACTTGGACTCGGACTCAGACTCGGACTTGGACTCGGACTCAGACTCAGACTTGGGCTCGGGCTGGGTCTCGGCCTCAGTCTCGTCTTGGTCTCAGTCCCGGTCTCGGTTTCGGTCTCGGTCCCGGTCTCGGTCTCGACCTTAGACTCCATCTCGGGTCCTTCTCGGACTCCATCTCAGATTCCATCTCGGGTCCATCTCGGACTCCATCTCGGTCCATCTCGGACTCCGTCTCGGTCCATCTCGGACTCCGTCTCGGTCCATCTCGGACTCCATCTCAAACTCCGTCTCGGTCCATCTCGGACTCCATCTCGGACTCCACCTCGGACTCCATCTCGGACTCCGTCTTGGTCCATCTTGGACTCCAACTCAAGTCCATCTCGGACACTTCCACGTGTCATGTGTTGGTCCTTTTGGGTCCCTTTTTGGAGCCTCGCTTATTGCTCGCTTCGTGCTTGTTCCTCGAGCACTTTGTTGGGAGTTCCACTCCCGCTCTCGACCTTTCAAGTCGGAGCTTTTAGTCCAAATGTGTTACGCTCGTTTGGCTTTTGTTTCGGCCATTACCACATGGCACCCTTCCAGCTCCACTTTGGGGCCAAGGGATTTTGTGTCTCACATAATAATCTAACAAGCATAACATGTATGGACTAAAGGTTCTGAATTAGAAAGTCAAAAGTGGGAGTGGAATTCCAAACGAAGTGCTCAAGGGATGAGTACAAAGTAATCGATGAATGAGTTTTTTAAAAGGGATATAAAAAAAGACTGATATATGGCAAGTGTTGTGATGCATGGAAGTGTCAGAAACGAGTCTAAAAAGGAGTTTGAGAAAGACCCGAGAAGGATTCTAAGATGGAGTCCAAGATAGACCCGAAATGGAATCTGAGATGGACCCGAGGTGAAGTCCGAGATGGACCCCAGATGGAGTCTGAGATGGACCCAAGATGGAGTTTAAAATGGACTTGAGATTGAATTCAAGATAGACCCTAGATTGAGTCATAGATTGTAGCGCATGTGATCATGAGATGAGATTTGAATATACTGTCACTGTGGATCCTTAAAACCTTGGGGGATACATAGGGATAAAATAAACACTAAGGGCTCTCTCATCAAGCAATTGCCCCTTTTCTAATTAACGTGTGGTATCGGAGCAAATGGGGGTGAGTGTAGCGCATGTGATCATAGGATGAGATTTAGATATACTGTCACTGTGAATCCTTGGAATCTTAGGGGATAAATAAGGAGAGAGATAAGGTGCACTACATAAATGGACCCGAGATGGAGTTTGAGGTCGAGTCTGAGATGGACTTGAGATGGAGTACAAGGTCAAGGCTAAGAAAGATATTGAGACCAAGTTTGAGTTCAAGTTTTAGTTCGAATCCAAGTCCGAGTCTGATAGTGAAAGCCCAAAGCATTTGTCTCCCAAACCCTAGGGGGTTTGATGAGCTGTGAAAGTATAGTAAGGGGGAGGACTCCAATGGAGCCAATTTGGCCAAGAAAGACCAATATGATCAAGGAAGGTTATACTTATGTGTTGGGTGATGATATAATCACTAAGGAGTCCAAGGCTAAAATAAATACAAATAGATAAGTAAGGTAACTTGATGAAGTGTTCAAGAGCCAGCATTAACTCCCCTAAGAGATTAAATGGTCGATGCTTCCAATTCAAATGTGGGTAGCACTACCTACTTGGATACTTGGCATGGCTCATTAGAACCTCGCTCTAACCACATGGCTAGAGCACTCAAAGGCGGAAGGTGTGGGAGAGTACCCACGAGACTCACATAGGACCACAGTGTTTTGAAATGTCATTCCAAAGTACTAGATTGTGGAAAGGAAAAGAAGTAGTCCAAGTGGAAGGTGGGGAGAGTACCCATAAGATTTACATATGACCATAGTGTTTCAAAATGTCATTCCAAAGTCCTAGATTATAAAAAGGAAAAGAAATAGTCCTTTTGTGCTACAGTCATATGGTGAGGAAGTCCTAAAGGTCGGTGGGACTTAATAGCTAGGCTTTTAAACCTTGACTCAATGGTAGTGTCGGCAAGTATGGTAATGGATAAAGACTTGGTGGGAACTGAAAAAGGGACATTGGGGAAGGGTGTTCCCTATGTCTTCTAGCATTTTAAAGATGCTAAAATGTGGTTATGGGATGATCACTCATAGATAAATGGCCTACTCTTTGAAAAATATAGATGGTCTTTGACCACCAATGTAATATAAATGAATGGGCATGGCTTTAGCATAATGGGTTGATATCAGTCAAGAATAGGACATATGGAGGTGGCAAGCGAAACTCCTCCAAGTGGTCAAAAGTATTGTTAAGTGACTAAAGTAGAATGGAAAATTTAATTGCTTACATGATAAAGTGTAAATCAATCAAATACCTTTGTCTAACAGACTTAAAATTCAAGCAAAAGTAAGAAACATATGCTAGAAAAACCTAAAAGTATTGAAACAATTGAGCTTTATAACAAAAAAAAATGATTCAAAAATCTCTAGAATTGTTCAAAAACTTTGGGAGTGATTTATATAATAATAGCATTAGAAGTTTGTTGATCCAAGCCAACACTTCAAATTGCCATTATAATGCCTAGTTATCTTTGAACTATCATATGTTAACCAAAACCAAATGAAAACATATATATGGATGAGTATGGTTTACACAATATAGTATAATTATGCATGATATTTCTTTTACATTAGGACAGTTTTAACGTTGCACGAAGTAAGATCCTAGCTGCAGGGACGACTTTTCTTCAATCATTTCTGTAAGAGTTAGAGCTTCTCATCAAAGAAGGTGTAGGAGTGATATATAGTTTTCCAGGAGGTTTTGAGTCAAATAGTGATAAAATTAGATGTAGGAGATGCCATTAGGAGATAACCAATGCTAGTATTTTATCTAAATTCATAAAGCTACATAAAAGGATTGAAAGAATGGTGTTTGAAAAACTAAAACTATAGAGTTGATGGTTTACAAGTCCATCTAAGAGAAGTACAATAAAATAAAGGGATTCAAGGAAAGTCATTACTATTGAAACTAAAAACACATATTTATAACTAGATATTTTTCTTACTATTTTTGTAACTTGTTTTTGCAGACTCTATATTTTAGAAGCATGCATCATGGAATCAATACATACTCTTGCAATTAACAACTGCAAGAAAATTAATAAAGAGATTTTTAGAGTCATGATTAAAATTAAAACAAAGGTAAGGATGATGACTATTCACTCACCATTTTAACAAAATGATATAATGTTAACCACCATAAAATCTTTTTCTTGGCTCATGCAAATGAATAAGGTTTTCTTTCAATGGTATACTTTATATGTGATAGCTATATTGGTTGGAGATGCCTTGATAGAATAGTTGAGGCTCATTAGATATTATGACCATATTCTATATGCCAGAGATTGACATTTGAGACCATATGGACAATTAAATCTATTGAATGGAAATTCATATATGTCTATATTAGAGTAATATTTGGGACAAAATCTCACTGAAAACATCTTTATTTATGAAGAGCATATAGTGCTAAAAGTGAGTTCCAGGTTTTGTATGAAATCCCCAAATTGAAAATAATATGGTTGAAACATCATAAGAATTGTGAACTAAGTTTTGGTATGATTTTTACTTAACTTTTTTTTTTCTACAGATCATTCTTCAAAAGTATGAATTTGCTAAAGGTCAAAGAAACTAATAGGCTACTACCACTAGAAAGTCTGAAGAAGATCTTAGGATCTTACTTTGTTACACTATAAATAACATAAAAATTGTGCCCTTACAATTTATAGCCTTGTTGTGGAAAAAAAACAGGGATCCTTAGCTTATGTTTACAAAAAACTAAAATCATTGTTAGCCATTTAATACCAATGATTACAAAATGTAGAGTTATGTTCAGTTTGGAGAAACTCATAGAAAACAAAAATGGCCCCATCTTTGATGCCAACACAAATGCAATTTGAATATCTAAGTATGTTAAACTATATAGTTTTTATTATGTTTTTGGTTTGCTTAGAGTAGTGTAGAATATACTTGGATATTCTAGGATATTCCACTATCTAATGATTGTTATTCACTTGAATTAATCTCGTATTTGTAATTTTATAGATATAATTATAATTTATAAACTTTCCCAAATATTTCCTTGTATATTCTAGTTTATTTAATGGTTGATATGTAATAAGATTAGTCTTTATAAACTTTCAGTTAATCAATTATATTATTAAATAATAATAAGAAATACTATTAAGCAAACCAAATGTTGCTGCATGCAACATGCAGCAAATTATTATTATTTTACTTATCAGAAAATTTATATTATTGAGACTTATTTCATAGCAAATTAGTATAAGAATTCTAATTACAATGTTTAAGGCACTTTGTTTCTGTTTTTTTTTCTTAAATAACACATTTTTAGGGTAGATAAATACACTTGATGGCATATTTTAACTCTTGATTTTATGCATTCTGATCATATATACAATCTTAATTTCCAAAAGTATTTTCCAACAACAGCAATATAAATTTTAGTTGAGGACATAGTAGAACTTTAAGGAAGGCTCGCCCATATTGTGGAGGTTACATTAATGCAAACTATATAAATCAAGTTGTTGGAGAGCATTGATAATGTTCCTAAAACTTTATACTTGAAAGATCCATCTTGTAATTCTTAGTGAATAATATTAATTTTTTTGTTTACTTACATAGGGAAGTAAACACTTTCAAGGATGGATGAGTTAAAGACATTGCCATTTGATATTGGATAATATAGGCTTATAATAAACTGGGTAGATTAGATGGTCGGCTATGACATGAATAATTTGATCAAACTATAATCTATATGAATAATTATATAGCATATAAACTCTAGAAAACTAATTGGATAACAATGTTTCAGAAAAACTATACACTATCTAGGCTATAAGAAAATTATGTGAAAAATCCATATGAAAATGAAAATTTATACATAATGCTAAAAATATATTTAAAAAACAATACCAAAAGGATAGCCGCACACCAAATTTGCAGGTGGGAAAAGCCGTGTTTGATCGCTTCGTGGAGTCTGGACAGTGGCTCCAGTCCGTGTTACGAACACGGCCGGGATCCCGGCCGTGTTCACCGTGTTTCACGAACACGGCCATGGGTCGTGTTCCCACAGCCGTGTTCGTGAACAGTGGTCCGTGTTACTAACACGGACTGTGATCCCGGCGACCACGGCCGGGATCACGGTCCGTGTTAGTAACACGGACCACTGTTCAGAATATTCTCGTGCAGAATATTCTGGTTTTAGGGCGCACGGCATCACACGACAATCCAGCCAGGGCGCACCATTTCAGGGCACAGCAGCAGCAATCCAAGGCAAACAAGCATGGCGTAGCAATCCAGCATATTGCGAAAGCATCCTTCTTCGCAATGGTGGGATGAGGTAAGTGTTCTTGAGAGCAGGGGGCATGGCCACAAATTATGGTCATGCAAATATTGCCCAATGGTGAACAAACTGAGTGGTGTTGATCGTGTGCAAGCTCATCTGTTAGGAGAAGGCCCAGGCAGCAAGGATATTGTGAGTTGTCCTCTCATCCCAGGTAACAAGAAAGCGGATTTGCTCAATATGCAAAAGGTTATTGATTCCGAGAAAGGGGCAAGGGGGAAGAAACGGCTGAATGAATCTGGTGGTGCTTCTATGAGAATGGATGGCAATGTCCAAGGATTTCCACCGGTGGTATCATCCCAGTCAAGTGGAAGTGGCTGCAGTTCCCTGTTTTTTAGCAAACAGAGTCAAGTCCATATTGTTGATTCGATGGATCCTGAGCGGAAGAACCGAGTTGATGTGGCTATCGGAAGATTTTTCTGGAATGAACACATTCCATTTGTCAAGGCTCGGTCACCTTACTTCCTCAACATGATACAGGAAGTTGCCAGGCATGGTGTGCCTTATGCACCACCAAAATATGATGATCTCCGGGATAAGCTTTTGGTGAAAGAGAAACGATTCATTGACATTGAGATGGTGTCCTTGAGGAAGAAGTGGGAGCAGAGGGGTGTAACCATATGCACAAATGGGTGGGCAGATAGGAGGAATCGGCATATCATGGGGCTTGTGGCATATAGTCAAGGATGAGGAGCTTTTTTGAAGGCTATCGACATTTCCTTAACAGGAAAAACAGCTGAAAATACTCTGCACTGCTGGGAAGAAGGCATTAACATTGTAGGTGCAGAGAACGTTGTTATGGTTGTGACCGATGGGGAAAATGCAAACAGAGCAGCAGCAGCACTTTTGCAACAGAGGTACCCGAAAATTCAATGGGCAGCATGTTTTGCCCATTGCTTGAACAATGCCTTGAAAGACTTTGGTGTACTTCGATGGATGGCAACACTTCTGGAGCGTGGAAAGTCTTTGGTGATCTTCGTTAGAAACCACTCTCATATAGTGGCACTGCTGGCGGAGTTTACTCACAAGCGATTGCTGTGTTATTGTGATACCAGGTTCGGCTACAACTTCATTATGATGGAGAGGCTGGTGGAGCTCCGAGAAGCTTTACAACAGATGTTCGTATGCCCTGCGTACAGAGCAAGGCTTGAGTTGAAGTCGAGAGCAGGAAGGGACAGTTATGCAACGGTTTTTGATGACAGTTTCTGGCAACAGGTTAAGGACATGCTAGAGGTGTCCAAGGATGTTATGCTGCTTCTTCGTGTTGTGGACGGTGATATATCTGCGATTGGAAAGATATATGAGTGCATGAACAGGTTGGATGCAAGTTTAGAGGAAGGACAGTCGGATTATGGCAGGTACAGGGAACTTCATCAGATCATGTCTAATAGGTGGCATGAGTATCACTCGCTCATGCACTCGGTGGCGTACATGTTGGACCCCAAGTTTCAGGAGTATGAAAAGCATGCTAACAGAGAGGTCATGAAGGACTGGAATGCTTATCTGCTGGCCATGTTTACATCCAGTGAGAGGGATGTGATACGTGATGAGCTTTTAACTTACCGGAGGATAGGAGGCATTTTCAACTCATATGATGCTAAGGCTGATCGCACTAAGAGGGGAGCTGTACGTTGGTGGGAGGACTATGGTTATGAAACTCCAGCTCTTCAGAAGTTGGCCATTCGAGTTCTAAGTCAGGCATGCTCGTCATCCTCGGTGGAGAGATTGTTCAGTACTTTCGAGCATGTTTCTTCAAAAAAGAGGAACAGACTTACCATGGACAGAACAGCGGATCTGGTTTTTGTGGCTTGCAACACCAGGTTGTTAACCTGCAAAAATGATTGTGATTACGACAAGTTTGTAAGCTACAAAGTCCTGGAGACAGTTCCTCATCCTGAAGACGAGCTTGAGTCAGGACAGGAAGAGGAAGATGGAGATGATGTCGAAGATCGTGAGATCGAAGATCATGAGGTTGAAGATGACGATGAGATGCAGGATATTTGAGTAGTTTAAAAGTGTGAAGTAGTTTATGTGCAAATAAAAATATTAAGAATAATATAATAAAATATAGCATATTCCTATAATAATATAATAAGAAATAGAATATAATTTTTAAATAACATATTCTTAGAATATTCAGTAGAATATTCGTGAGCCACCGTGTGCCGTGATCGTGTTCCATGTTCGGGTTCCTGAAATCTGAGGCTCGTGTTCGTGTTCCGTGTTCGTGTTCGTAACCATGGCTCCAGTGACTTGGCTTGTGACATGCTCATGGTCAAGCTCTATTGCCTGTGGAAGGAGCAATCGCTCATTTTGCAAACCATGGCAGCCAAGTTTGGCATTTCCTGGATTGTCAATGGACAAGCAAACAGGTGGCATTGTAGTGGCTACACTCGGCAGTGCAGCGTGGGAGTAGAGAGAAGATCGAGGTATATTTTCATATCAAAAATTGGAAAACCTGAAAACACCGACATTTCTCAAGTGTTTATTGTTGGCTGAGCGCCTAAGTGATCTCTAGGAGGCACTTGCGTGCGTTCCACGCATTGAGCGCATCCTGAGGACTCCAGTTGGTGACTTGACGACCAACAAGAGTCTTGAGCATGCTATCGTAGAACCTCTTTTGCCCCCTGGCAAGCTCCGCTTCACCGCCAAGGGTAGGCATCTTGTTATACTCTTGTACCGTCCTGCAAGTCTGTCAATACCAAAGCGCTTGGAAACGCGGCTCTTACCTGATGAAGAAGCGGCGAACCGGGTGAAGACCATTGTGGATTCTCATCTTGATCTTAGCGAAGTCCTTCCACGTTTCGAAGTTGTTCTGTAATTCGGTGCGGGTGAAGCTTGGAGTGAATTTCTTCGGATTCGCCTCCATCTTTTCTTCCGGGAACTCTGCGCACACGACCACAAATAGCTAGACGGGCAGCCGTTTTTGCAGTCATTTACCTTGCAAGCTGGCCTGATCAACCTGATTGTTCTCCACCCAAACGAAACCATCTATTTCCAGGATTCCGTAATACCAGTCATCCCAGTTATCCTTGTCACCGGCCTAGAAGACGATATGCTCATGATCCAAGTGACTAACTATTCTTACCATGGTGGTAACTGGCGGTCTGTAGCTCTTCGGATGCGCTGCTGTCTCCAGAAGTTCCTGTATGGCGTACATAGCTGGCCGGTAGAGATTCTCGACGCCCGCGTTGCGTTTGAAATCCAACGTCACCTTGAGCCGCAGGCCACGAAGCGTGTAGCGTTTAGTGTACACGTACATCTTCCAATCCGAATGGTGCCTCGGAGAAGAATTGCTCGCAGACTGAGGTTTATCAGCAGGTCATCTGTTGAAGAGTCCAAAGACTCTCAGAGTTGGGAAGGTTTTGCGCGTCAACCTGGGTCGCCTGTCTTCCTTGTCAACCTCATACTGGAGCACAAAGTCCGCAGATGGCGATGACGGGGGCTCCTTTCCAAGTTCGCGGGGCCTTGTAAAGCGGCCAAGGTTCCGTAGCATCCTGTCCAGTATCGGTGCGACCTGCATCTCTTCTTTGCAATCACCTTGGAACGAAGTCGAGTAGGCCACATCGTTGGCGATGAGCTTGTTGACGCAATGAAGAGCCTGACATCTCCACGGCAGCAAACCTATCGTATGAGGGCGCTTGCATAGAGAAGAAATGATTTTAACTTTTTTACCGTGATCTTTCATGACTAGCAAGTAGCATGCATTGGAGCATCGGCCACTTCAATATGGTTCTCCAATTCAGGTAGGACCTCTAGCACTACCTGTCTTTTCTGCTCTCCACATATCCTGACCACAGTCCAAAAGAGCCCCGGAATTTCATCTTGTCGAACACTTTTATATTCCCCTCCATTTGAGTAGCAGCTGGAGAATAGGCTTCCGGACTTTCCAAGCTGGAAGTTCTGGAGAGAAGCATGGCTATCCACCCACTCTTATAAAGTGTGCAAATTTTTAATTTTTTCCTTGTCAGTTTACTAGGGGGGAGTGTATCACATAATTGTTTACCTGAAATCACATTCAAATACTTATCAATCAGTTCTTTCAAACATTCTCTTCTGCTAATGTCAAGATACAGTAATATTCTGTTGATATTGAAATCCAAGTAATTCACAAACCTATATCTTGAAATCGAAGTGTTCGGTTTTGAAATATAGATAAGTTCTATAGCTCAACTCAATTAAAATGCCTTTGAGCTGCTATCTTAGAGCCGAGAGAAGTTCCACTTTATTTTCAGTCTTGTCTTGGCAAATTTTACCATAGAGAAATCTCAAGCAGCCAATATAAAACCTTGCAAGAACCCTAATTTCTGGTGGTTATTTGGGCAATGGCCGCAACTGGCGGTGATGTGCCGTCGCGTGGCGGAAATCCGTGGCGCCATCGAATGCTCGGAATGGATTCCTGGAAGCACGATCGAGATTGAATGCGGGCACATTCCGGCAACAGCAGCAGCAGCGAGGATTTCAAGTGATAACGGCAGCTACACGACTGTTCACAGAGAGTGGAAGCCGATGGTGAAATTGCGTGGTATAGGGTTCTTGCCTCCTGATTTTCTTGTTTCCTCGCAGCTGGTCCTGTGGATATCAATTCCAATCTTAGCTTTGTCTTGTATCCCGATCCCAAGCTCCGCGCGAGGAACATCCGCATCAATTCCTTCGATGATAATGTCAAGAAGCTTATGCTGGACGTGACGTACAGGTATGTTCCTCGCGAATTTCATTACGTTGGCATGCCTTGTTTTCTTGTCTTTCTTTTCATTTTTGCCAGGAGAGATGGAGTAGGCTTGTCGACTCCACGATTAGGCAAAGGCAAAGGGTATGTTTTCGTGAATCCAATGATTGTCAAGTTTGGGAAAGAGCGAGAAGCTGATACTCTAGAAGGATGCCTACCTTTTTACGGCGCTCAAGCCGATGCCTAGGTACTATTCCTTTTGTACATAGAGATTCTCTTTTATAACTTGCGTCTTTGTTTCCAGAGACCGATATCGATCTGAGTTGAAAGCTCAAGATATCAATGATGCTTTATTTCGTTAAAGTGGGATTTTTCATTATCCCACTTATAGTGTGTGGCCACATGCCATTTTTATAACAACAATAAAAAATTGAAGTTTTAACTTTATAATTTATAAATTAAAAACTTTTCATATGATTTTGTGTTATAATATTGTGAAATATAAAAAAATAAATTAAAAAACTGATAGAAATATTAATAAATATTAATTAAGTACTAGGAAATGGCATGTGGACACATGCTAATTAATGTCCCACTTTACTGAATAAGTCCCACTTTAATGAAATAAAGCTTAACGGGAAGAAATTTGGTACCACCTTCAGGGGCTGGACTGCTCGAATTTTCCGACATGAGTATGATCACCTGGAGGTAATGTCTCGTTTGTTTTTTTTCTGTGCAAACATCAAGGTGGCCGTGGTATTTGTTCGCACAGGGTGTCCTTTACATCGACCAGATGACTCCAAAAGCACTGAACTCAATTGGACAAGAACTTTTGGTAAGAGATTCCATAGTTGTATGTGCCCTCATGTCGGCTTTGTTTGCAGAATCTGGAAGAGGAGTTTGAGAAGAGGTCTGGGACGCCTCGTCCCGATGTGGTTAAAGACAAACTGTTAAGTTTGATCCCGGTCGTCTCCTGTGAAGATGCTCGGTTCGATTACGCGCTCCGTTTTCAACTAACCGGAAACTTCAGCTGACGAAGAACAATAAGCCTAAAAGCGAATCCAACCGGGCGGTGAGTGCCCTGCTTTTATTTCCATTGTGAAGATGGCTAGAAGCTGAACCTTTTCTCCTTTTCTTTTCTTGTGTGATATTGTTTCAGAGTTTCAGAGTTGAGGATCCCGTGCCACACGAACTACCATCTGAAAGCGATATGGCCGACCTTCATATCATCCTGGTTAACGCTGAGAAGAGAATCAGAGCACTGACTGCCTCCAAAACTACATCGGTGAAAAAGGCCAGAAGAAGTGTGAAGAAGAAACATGGCCAGCTATGTGAGGCTCCATTGGGCGGGCCTTTTGTGTTGCCTCTCTCGAGGAGCCCAAGGAGGAGCTCTTGTTTTCCTGAAGTTCTTTCATACCCGACAATGGTTTATAGCAGCAAGGCTGACGCAATGCAGTTCTGAGGAAGAGTTGTGGCCATCACGGGTTGATAAATGGAGGTTTAGCAGTCCAGATGAAGACCTTTCTATTGGCTCGAGCACTTCAGCAGATTTCGGTCAGATTACCGGTCAGAATTCGGTCTTAAGGAGAGAGAGTTTGGAAGTCCCATCTCTCGGACCTTTGGGACGACTTCGTTATTCTCCAGGTGCTTTAATTCAAGCAAGATACTCGAGCAACGTTGCGGCAGAAAGAAAGTGCAGCGCTCCGGGCGAGGAAGTGGTCCGAGTCTTCCGGACGGAGGCGCGAAAATGAGGATATGTCCGGGAAAGCAGGTGTATCAACACAGGGAAGGCCGAGTTGCGACTCAGGAATTCAAACGCAACAACAGAGGTGGCAGCGAAAGCTCCGAAAGACCAGCGTCCGGAATCGGGAGAAGCAACTAGACGACGGCCAGGATGTTGAGATCGGCGTGGAAGGCTAGCAGGCAAAGTAAACAGTGTGGGCGCTAACCTCGTGTTTTTGCAAAAACTTGCAGGAGGATACGTGCGGGATTGAAGTTTCCGCGGTTGCCAAGTTGTTTCCAGAAGGCTTAGCACTCTATAAAATCCTCTTTTTGATAAGGAGTTGTGGTCATGTTTTCAAGCTATCCTCTTATTCTTCTCTTCGCTCTTGATCTTCGACATTGTGAGGCTTTTTCCAGTATGGGCACTCGTGTCGCAGATGATAGATGCTATCTCGTAGCACACTATACGAGCGTGTGGTCGTACCTGTGGCCTCACATCTCGCATTCTTTGGACGTCGAGAGTGTGAACTTGGATTGGAGGGCGAGATTTTCTCTGTTTATGCTCCGGAGCGTGAGGTCTGTCTCTCAACCGCTGAAGCACTTTGGAAGATGGGTGGAGAAGGCAATTAACCTTTGTGCATCCAATGGAGGAATTCTCAGGACCTTGTATACTCTTTCGATGGATCCACAAGGTAACTAGAATTGATTTCACGGTGTTGACTTTTAATTGTGTGCTGTTCTTCCAGCGCTTGTTGATCCTTCCGAGGATTCGGAGAGCTACCTAACTTTCAACGGCCACATGGAACCAAGAATCAGCCTCCTCCAAGCCCCTTCGTCTCAGCGTCTGTGTCTTTCATGTCCAGACTCCAAAGCGGTAGCAGATGTTTGTGCTATGGCGTCTAAGGTTGCGTATGAGAACCCGAAGTTCATCGAATTTGTCGTGAATCAGAATTGGAAGGTAAGTCCAAGCCTTGCACAACCTCTGACTCCATCAGCTTCTCCTTCGCAGATGCATCTACTAGGAACTTACAACTGTTGGAACGGTAAGAGGTCGCTATCCAGTTTCATCTGACGTTGCCCTCACCCTTTCATGCTACAGAGTTTCAGAAAAAAAACTCGACTCAAGCATTCATCTTCGCGGACCGGGAAACTGATGCCGGAGCCATCGTTCTTGCCTTCCGGGGAACGGAAGCCTTCAATGCATACGACTGGTGCACAGACTTGGATTTCTCCTGGTACGAGCTCCCGCAGCTCGGCCGTGTCCATCTCGGATTCCTCGAAGCACTGGGCTTGGGCGACAGGAACAGGATGCAAAGCTTCCAGAGGTTGAAGCAGAACATCTACGAGAACTCGAGGACTCCGTTGTCACAGACTCCAACATCTGGATTACCCGACTTTGTCCTCAGCGATGAGACGAAGCTGCTCGCATACGACCACATCAGTGCGGAGCTCGTCACCATCCTCCGGAAACACAGAAACGCAAAGCTCTACATCACCGGTCACAGCCTCGGCGGTGCTCTGGCGACGCTCTTCACCGCCATGCTCTTCTACAACCGGGAAGAGAATCGAGTCTTTTACAACACTGAGGACGACGTTGCCAGGAGGCTCGCGGCGCTCTATACGTTTGGCCAGCCCCGCGTTGGGGACAAGAGCTTTGCGTCCGTCATGGACACCAGCTTAAACAAGCCAACCATGAGGTACTTTAGAGTTGTCTACAATAACGACATGGTAGCTCGAGTTCCCTTCGACAACTCTCTGTTTGGCTTCAAGCATTTCGGGAATTGCTGCTACTTCACTTACAACTACTCCCTCCAGGTACTTTACTTCGAGACACTGCTCTCTGTGTAGGATCCATATTAACGTTCTGCACAGATCCTTCCAGACGAGCCATTTCGCAATTTCTTCTCCCCGGTTTACATGGTGCTGTCCCGGCTTTACGCGCTGTTCGAGCTCGTCCAGAGCTTCTTCATGAGCTATAGATATGGCGGGGAGTTTAGCGAGACGAGGTTGTCCACTGTGGCAAGGATTGCAGGCTTGCTCGTGCCTGGGATCGCCGGCCACAGCTTGGTGAATTACATCAACTGCGTCAGGCTGGGGCCCGACCATCTCGATCCGGCGTGCCTGCAAAACACGGAGTGGGATAAATCCCAGTAAGCATCGCAACTTCGTACATGTCAAATAAAACTTACACATGGTGTCACTCAGAAAATATATAAAATGAACACAATTACATTGCCTTCAAAACCGAATGCACAATGGAATTCTCTGTATGGAGACAGGGCTATTACTGGTGGAAGTGCAAGCATGGAATGAAACCATGCAATTTATCCTTACCACCCAGAAAGGAACCATAGACAAAGCGTTGATGATCGACTCTATCCACCTCGACTATGAGTTCCACAAAAGATGGTGGCATGACTGTGTGGCTTGGACTGCTTGTTGCAACCAGATGTCCTCTATTTCTTAACTACAGCTCTAACTCTACAATATCTTTCCACTCCAAGATTGCCACTTGTGCAAAGAGTGCTTCCAAGTTGAAAAGGTTGTTGATGACTGTCGAACAACATTGATTCAAACATTCAATCCCATGGTTTTCAGAGAAATGGATTAAATGGAAAAGAGGTCATCACACAGTGCCATCTGCTTGTCTTCTTCTACCAATGTGATCGGGCATGCCGGCTGTGACCTGCCTGTGGCATTTGGAGAGCAAGATGACTCAATGAACTATGACAAACAAGCTGATTCTTTGGAGGTTAGAAGGTCCATGAAGGAGTTGCCTCTAAACCCAAGCAATACATTGGTAATACATTGGTAACATAAAAAAACTTGCACTAAAATTATTTGAATCTCATCTTTATCTACAAAATTATATTGATACTGATTTAATAGATATTGATGGAAGAAGTGTTGTTATAAGAATTCAACATTTAGCTGGAAGTACTCCATATTGTTCTACAGGAATTTCAACTGGAAAACTAATTTTAGGTGGTTCTCTCCAAAACTCAATAAATGAAATAATTAGAAAGGTAATAAATAAAGCTCTTTCTAGTGAATGTTGAATTATGTCTAATAATTATGTCATTTGATATATATTAGTAACTCGTTAAAAACCCTTAAATTATTTAGAAAATATAAATATTGTTTTCAAATATTTTGAAAATTGTGATATTACTGTGACTACTTTAAGTGCTGGTTTCTCTGATCATATTTTATATAAAGGTAAATTTTTACAATCCATTGTATGAATGTACTATATATCAAAATGAATTGTAAACTTGCATTTGTTTCTGGAAAAAATAATTTATTGGAATCTCCAAATAGTGAATATTTTGGAGAGTGTTTTTTAGATTTGTAAAATGATGGAAATTTAGTGTTATATACTTCTAAACAAAATGTATTATGATCTCCCAATATGTATTGTTATGACAAACCAAATTGTTTACTTTTAACTTATATTACAGTTGAAGATAATTGTAAACTGGTGAGTTACTTGACAACATATCCAAGCAGAGATTGGTGGACATTAGATTATTCTAAACATATTGGCTGCTTAAGCTAGAATTGTCTTACTGAATAGAAAATAATTTGCTCTTCAAAATGCAATAATATTTACAAGAATTGAAGAATCCATCCTCTTCATTCCTCTTGACCTTCAGAACTAGCAGCCAAGGGGGACATGACTAGAAATCATGTAGGCTTGCCCGCGCAGGTTCGAATCTGACCATGATTTTCTTCATTTTCTTTTAATCACCTCCACCACTGCCGCCTCTTGTATCCTTGTCATGCCGCTCAACGTTCCTCCTCCTCCTCCTCCCGCTGCCACTGTCTTCTTTCTCTTGGCTCACAGTGCCACTGTGGATGCCGGCCTTGAATTTCCTCCTCCTCCTCCCAGCCTCATCTTTCCCTTCCCGGGCCCCCGGACCAAATGCTCTAGATCACTGCCATCACTAAACTCATCGCTGCCATTGTGCTCCACCATCTCCTTGACATGCCCCCTCTTGAGATGGAGGTTGAGCTTGTACTCATAGAACTTGTCACAACCTTTGTAAGGGCATGCGAATGGTCGACCAGTGCCGGTTGCTGCTGCTGCTGCTGCTGGTTAGAGAAAAGCCGGGAAGGGACTCGACAAATGCTCATTCTCTTCTGAACAACGAACACGGTCCAAGCAGCATCCGAAGAATTCTGGGATGTACAAACCGCGAGACACAAGTGATGAGACAACAATAATGATGGCGACGATGGCTTATCTTCTTCTCTGAAGGAAACAGAAGGGAGGAAAAAATCTCCCAGCATCAAGTCTTTGTTGTTTTTG